CATTAAGAGTCTGAACTCTAGATCCAAGTGACTTCTTTTTCCATGCACCGGACGGTGGCTCTTTGCAGTGGCGTGGCGTGCTCTGCGATTTATCGATTGATCTGCCATTGAAACCAATAGAAAAGGATCGATTAACTGCTGTTCGCATGGAACACCTTTATGGTCGATACTTCCCCACAGCTTCAAATGAGAAGATATCGATAATGGGTCATGGCACCGGCTGTTTGGCGTCTCAATGGAGATGTTGCATATGTGAGGGATTTGCGATTTGACCATTGATTCTTATGTAAAAGTTCGCGAGAAACACGATCGTGCCACTGGTTTTCTCTAAAATCATCCCCCTAGCTCAAAAAAAGCTCTCAAAGTGAGGCTAAAATGGAGGGGATATCCCACCCTACACTGAGAGTCCACCTCTACACCTAGACGAATTCTCCATGCAAAGATAGGGAGCAAATACATTAGCAGGGATGCCGCGTTTTCAATATCAGAGTCCCCAAATAAAGTGGCAACCCTGCCAATGTATTTGCTCCCTATCTTTGCATGGAGAGTTTGTTTTGATGTAGAGGTGGACTCTCAGGGTAGGGTGGGATATCCCCTCCATTTTAGCCTCACTTTGAGAGCTTTTATTGAGCGTGGGAGATGATTTCAGAGAAAACCAGTGGCAGCATCGTGTTTCTCGCGAACTTTTACATAAGTGGATTGCATTTTGCAAAAAGGAACCACTAGCATCGCAATGTTGCTAAGATTGTGCAACTTCTTTTGTCTTGGAGGAAAAACCCGATTATCCATTAATAGTTTCTATTTTACTCGCTAAAAACTGTAAATTTAAGACAAAAATTACCATCTAAATTTCATAGTTTTTCACGATTTCCGTAATTTTATTGCAAAAGATGAAGTTGCGCACAATCTTAGCATCATTGCAATGCTAGTGGTTCCTTTTTGCAAAATGCAATCCAAGTATCAATGGTCAAATCGCAAATCCCTCACACATGCAACATCTCCATTGGGAGGTTGACTGGTGCGGGCATAAGCATAAATCAGAGTGGAGCCTTATCCGGTGCGTGCCCACCTGAGTAATCCTGGCGAAAGCATAATGACGTAATTAATTCGGGCGGGAGAAGGAAGGACGCGGCGCGGCGCGGCGTATCGGGATATATTGTTGCCGGACACAAGAGCAGGTGCGCGCCCCGCGTTATCTGCCCAATTTGCACACCATTAGTCAAAGGGATGCTGGTCATCCCGCTGTCCCGCGGGCTCATCTCGCCCGCGTCCCTCGCCGGCCGCATGATTTAGGCCTCGGTCCGCGCCGCGTCAAAGCTAAATCCCCTGACCCTCTTTCTCAAAAATCCCTGCCGTGTCAGTCCACGTGCCACCGGGAGATTCTCCGTGGAGCGTAGATTTCAAAGTCCATAACGTCGCGATTTAAAATTGGGCGAGTTATGTCCCAGACCGCACTGTAGGCCGATTATTGAAACTGATAGACAAAGCTACAGACAAAGACGACAAAAGGGATTTGGAGGGATCCTATTGGTGGAAGCGGGTGGTGGCAATGGACGTAGGAGGTAGGTGATGGACTAACTAACGGCAACCCACCAAAGACCCGACAGTTAGTTCATCATTTTCTTCCTTAGTCTATAAGAACCTACCATGTCAACCAATAGGATCGCTCTATACTCCCTATGTCTTCTTTGTCTATAGCTTTGTCTATCAGTTTCAATAATCGGCCCGCTGGAAAAAAAGTATCTCGAATCAAGAGTCCAGACTGTTCAAAAATCTAACAAGAAAAAATCCTCTTGACTCAATCGGATTTTTGCCCGAATTGATAGCCAAGCCTCTTAATTTAAGTGGACTTCTTATCGATTCAAGCAAATATCCGATCAAATCAAGAATCTTTTTCTTTGCGTACTTTTCAAGAGTTTTGACTCTGGATCCAAGAGACTTTTCTTCCAGTGTGATCTGTTGCATGCTGGGGATAAAGCCAAATAAATACTCGCTGCATACAAAGATTTGCCCACCTCCACCCAAAGATTTAGTCGATTTCGGTCGGGTTCGAATCCTGGTGGTGGCGACTTTCCAAGGAACGGACGAGCGGATCTGCGGACAGATACAACTCCGCCTTAATCCATGAAAATTTGAAAATCTGGAGCACGGATGTGTGCTAACCAAGTGCGGTGGCTGTCTGTCTAGTCACTAAGGCCAAAAAAAAAGGGGGAAAGAAAATCACGTCAGTAATATTTGAGAATTATAAATACCGTCTTTCGAACCCAGAAAGTGGAGCGAGGGCCGCATGGTGCTGCCGTCCTTGTGGCGCCACGCGCTGCAAAATGGCAGACCCTTCAAGAACTACACCCACGGTGCAAGCCTTGTCAGAACAATGGACCGTGTTCAGCAGGAAAGAACTAAGCCAAATCAACTATTGCCAAATTTAACGGGGCAATTTAATTTTTCATAAGAGAACGTTGGTTCGGATTCCTTTGAAAATGTTAAGGAATTTGCTTCGCACTATTCAGGAAATTCACCGATATTTGCGCAAAAATCCGCACAACCGCTTTCATGTAAAAAAATAAAATTGCCCGATTACGTTTGCTTAGATGTGGCTTGGTTCCTTTCTGCTTAACGCGCACTGAGAAAAAACTATGGTTTATAAACCTATTAGAGGTAAATATGGAACACCTATAATAGTCGTAAATAAACTAATGATTCTCGGTCTGTGAACCATACTAAGGTCTCTGTACCTAATTAAGGTACCCCGTACCATAACTAAGGTATATGTGCTATTATTATATGTAGAGGTACTACTATTAGTGGTGTTCCATATTTACCTCTAATAGGTTTATAAGCCATAGTTTTTTCTCAGTGCGGTCCAATTAGCACTGGGAACTTGATTGCTCGGAGATGAGACAAAATTAAGAATAACCCTGAACGTTATTTTTCATCCGTGCATTTTCCTTGGAAACACCGAGCGCTCCCATATTCTAAATTTCTATTCTTTGACGCATTGAGTATTTCGAAGAGGAAACTCGGCAATTCCGCGAGGACGAGAGCGAGACGCAGCGAAAAAAGGCGCTCACGGGGAAAACAATTTAGTGAACTTTGATTCTGCGGCTTGGTTCCCTCTTTGGTTTGGCGTTATCTTCCCCCGTGTAACGGCTTTATCATGTAAGTGGGGTTGCGAGGGGACGTGATCTGAGCTCTCCTCCAGGAATGATGCTCGCATCCCCAACCTCCCCGCACTCTGCCCCCAGCCTCCCCCCACTCCGCCCCCTCCTAGTCAGGTATACTGTCACCGGATCAAGCTCATATTCGCGAGATTTTTCGCACCGAGTTATTTGCCAACCCGGAAAAAGGAAACTGTTGACTTCAATTTATTTTTTCCAAACGGGGCGCGTTTTTCCACCCTCTACACTGTCTTATTTCCGAGCCACCCTCGTTACCTGACGATTCCAATACACGGTTCGTCGTTTCCCCGACGAAAGAGCGTAACTCGATTCCAACGTCGCAAAATTAACTCTGACAATTCAATTTTTTTCAAAAATGTGCGTGTGCAATGCCTGCCCAAAATTATTCTGATTTTCACGAGAGATCAGAAGAAACATCAGTGAGACTTTCAGTTCGAAATGCCCATGATTCTCCTAGTAAAGTTGAAATTTGTGAGAGGAAATTTGGCACCATTGAAATGTAGTTACGTTCTTTTGTGAGGGAAACGAATAAGTGCAACACCACAAATGGAACGCGTTTAGCAGAAAAGAACCAAGCCACATCAGCTGTTGCCAAATTTAACTGGGAATTTCAATTTTTTACAATAGAACGTTTGTGCTGTGTGTTTTTCTTCGAAAATTTTAAGGATTTTCCCTCCTATTATGCAAGAAAATCACTAAAATGCGCACGACTATTTTCCTGTTAAAAATTCCTCATTTAAATTTGGCAGCAGCTGATGTGGCTTGGTTCCTTTCTCCTTAACACGGTTCAAATATCCCTGATCGTTGGCTGAGGAGCTGATAATGCAAAGGTGTTTGCTCATTTGATCAAGATAAAGATTCTCACCCTCGAGTAATGACAATGAACTTTTTGGTACTCGGAATTTTATTTATCAAACTTCAGCTTGAATTTTAGAAAGAAATTAAAGGAAGAAAAAAAAGAAAATCTGATGAGGATTGAAAGTCAAAGTTATTTAAAGGCTAATAGCTAATAAAGATTTTCTATGTATCTTTCTCTCCTTAGGCTAATTTAATATGGAACGCAGCGGCGCTATATAGTTGTTGTTTAGATTATATTCTTTCACCTTTGACATGTTGACCTTTTGTAACAATTGTGTACGTGTGTCAATAAAAACTATTATTATTTAATAAAGATTTCTGATTGCTGGAACTGAATACAGAATCAAACTTCATAGAAAAACCGAGGCAGAAAAAAATGACGTATCCCCAATAACCTTGCGTCTGCAACATAATCTTTATCATGCATGAGTCAAAAGTTACGCAATTGCTAACTCCGAAAGCGCCTTCAATTCGGTGCATAGACTAAAAAACATCCGTAACGTTAAAATAGTTGCTCCTCCGCGCCTTACGATTCCTGCTCGGCTGATTATGATTAACGAGGAGATTACTGAACCTGCCGAGTCAAATAAATATTCTCCCATGAGGGACTTTGATTTTTATCGGTAAATAATCATAAAATACACCCAATGAATTATTTCAATGCTTTCAAGTCCATTCGAAGAACTTAATTTTCCCCGCGATTGAAAAAATGGTACTGGATTTCGATCAAGTTCCGCATCACTATAATAAAAGCATAAAGCTTCTTTTAAAGATTAAAAAGACACAAATTTGAGATACTGTGTTCAAAGGAATTTGCACAATTTTTCTTCCTCTTTTACTTCACATGAAGTCTCAATTTGGATGATTTTTTTTTTTGGGGGGGGGATTTCTAACCTGTATTTTGTTGTATATTTTTAAAACATTTTATAACTACATAATGTGTTTCACTTTGTTTGATTTCAGTTCCGACAGCGAGCATAATAGGGGGCCCAGATTTATACGTCGATAAAGGGAGCACAATAAATCTGACATGTACAATTAGATACAGCCCAGAACCTCCTCAATACATCCACTGGTACCATCATGATGAGGTAAGGTGTAAGTCCCATGAAGTAAATGTTTTTTTCTGTAAATTCTAAACATTCCCTCCCTGCTCCCTCCTCGTCTCTCCCTCCTTTGCGCGACAGCAGCGTTACCCCACCGGTTGTCTCCAGAATTCCTTCGGATATTTTTCGGCCATTTCCGGCTGATAGCGTCACCGTAACATCCTTCCATGGCGTTGCAGGCACACTCGATAAGATACTGATTCAAATTTCGATTGATCTTGAATTAGTTTTCAGTAACAGTATTTACCGAACCCTCATATTTCATACATTAAAATTTCCGTTCAATATAAATATGCCCCTGCAGATCTTCTTCTTCTACGAACGACTACGGCATAGCCCTCTTTGTCAGGTAATCTAGTACCGAGCAAATGAAGTGAGAGGCTTGGAGGACAAGGTGCATAAGTGCAGTTTTTGCTATTTCGAGAAATACGTTTTTGAATTTTCGAAATTACATGGGTCTTTATGGCGGAAAGAAAGTCCAAACTGACTTATTGATGCTGAAAAATTGGAATGTGGGATCGAATTTTTCACAGAATCTGAATTTAGACTGGTTTTCCTTAAAATCATTAATATCTCAATTTTTTCAAAAACTGCACTTACGCGCTTTGTCCTCCAAGGCCCCTGCTCGAATCATAAATATTATAAAAAGAAAGCATCGGTAAATTTAAACGACTCGTCAAAGGTCTCAGCAGATACACTCCCTAATTGTTTTTCCGCGTTTTTTTTTTTAAATATCCCCTCCCAGGAAGCAGACATTGGACTTCACCAAACTGTAATGCTGTATCTGTGACAGTTTCTGTTTCAAGATAGACCGTCTGTAGGGGATGTGATGGTCTGCTCGGGAGGGCGGTGTCCGATTAATTAACTTCTTTGAAGCTCCTGCGTTAAAAAATGTTTTAGTCGGAGATGTGGCGGCCCTGCCTGCTCTGTGATTACAAGCGCTCACAGTCAAAGAGAACAAGACTGCATGTTCGATCTCTAAGTAATTGGACTCGGGGAGTCGGTGAAATATGTTTTGAGGTATTAAATTGACAAATGCCCCGTCGATAGCCGGTCTCCGGACGCCGTGAGCGCTCGCTTTTATCTTTGTGAAATAATCATGCCCCTCGCCGCGCCGCTTATCTTGGCGTTTTTCAGATGTTCAATCCGGGAGCTCCTCAGGCCACCCAGAGATCCTCTCGCCGTAAAACGACTCAACTCTGCTCCTCCAAAGTTTTTACGTTAATCAGCAGAGCTTTTCATCGCGTCGTGAATGGAGCCTTTTGCGCTGAATCTGTCCGTGCGGAATTGAGAAAAAAATAAGAGGAAAAAATCAATGTTGGGTACATATCCGGCGGAAGCCCTTTAGAATTTCGCGTCAATTGAAAGCTCCTTTCTCTCGGCCGTAATCCAAAGGGATTCCGCGCTGGTTTCTTTGAAGCGGAAAAGGGGACGACTGGAAAAGAGTAATCCTAAGATTAATAAAGACGTCTAAAATATTTCCCGGCTTTAAAAAAAATGTGGGTCAATCTAAGCGAGACCCGGCCCGCAGGGAAAGCCCTCCGCGAGTAGAAAGTATATTCGGCTTTTAGACCGATCCCGATGAAAAACCGAGCACCCTTGAAATTATCTTCAAATGTTACGATAAAATAAAAGTCCACGAGGAAAAACCCTAGGTTCACAATGACCCAACATTCAGTTATGGATACTAGAACATGAAAGATGTGCAAACATTTTTGGGACCATCAGCAATTACTCCAAAGGTTGAAATCAAATTTAACATAAAGTGGTATTAAGTTAAAAGTTCAAAGAAGCTATTTTGAGAAGAAGCCATTCATCAAGTGTTTACTGGGGTACCTTCATTACCTAGGTCAGTGCTCCATTAGTTGGATCTCATTTTGCAATAAGGAACCACACACACAGCCAGGATTCCTGGCACATTTTAGAAACAACATACATGCCATTGGTTTCCCTGCGCTGATATGTGCTTTTGGGAGAGCTAGAGATAGTGGTTCCCTATTGCAAAATGTAATCCAGTTTAACTTACACTCGGCTCGCTCATAATTTATGCTAAGGAAAAATGTTGTAAGAACATTTGGGAGTTGCCAAATTTCCCCGGATAAAACATGTGTCTTTGAGGGAAGTTATTTATGTTTTCCCGTAAAGTTTTCAGATGTTTTGAATCAAATTGCGAACAAAGTCGTCTGAAAATTTCGAGGGAAAATCTTCAAAATTTTCCCGGTAAATTCGATTTTTATTAAAGGAAATATGGCAACGTCTAAAAGCTGACACGATGTTTTTCCTTAGCACGGCAGCATTATGCGTAGTTTACACTCAGAGACAAGAGACCACTGGCCTCTTTGCGACAGGTGGAGCTTTTACTTTCGGGGACTCAACACTTCCTTATGGACAATTATAAGGGAGCTACAGTCATCATAACTACTTGGTGGATGACGAGCTTCGGGTAACGTCATAAGCCAAACAAGTTTCCCAAAGTCCGGTATGCTTTGGTATGTTTGCAAAACGAAACTCCCAACATGTATTTAACCGTTGACCAAGCAGGTTGGTCATCAGTTGAATGCTGAAGTCCCGAAAGTATAAGTTTCCACAACAGAGAATTTGCAAGTGTCTGAAATTTGATGAATTTCTAGCGTTTAAGTGGAAACCACTGAGTGAACTGAACACGAGGATACCTTTGGTTCATGAATTGAACAATTATTGGAGAAGATATGACAAAATGATCTAATCTGCTAAAATATGTGTGTTTAAATGGGAAATGCCGCCAGATGACGTCACTAGGCGGTGCATTTTCTCAAGTCTGAATCTATTTTTATACTATTTCCCATATCAGAAAAAAATTCTGAAAAATACTGTGAAATCAGCTCTTTAAGCACCTTCAGCTGAAGCTGCAAAACATTTGCATGGAAATTTTCCATTGCCAAGATACCAGTTGAGGGTCCCTTGTCCCTGCTTATAACGCTTTGAACTTGAGGATTGGGACCGTCACAGTTCTACGCGAGCGTGTGCAGCGGCTGGAAGCAAGAACATGCGAATGTTAGCATGGAAATTTATGTCGGCGGAAAAGTTGGGCCGTTTGTAAAAATGGGCGACAGAACTGCATTTTTAAGTCGCAGCGAGTTCATCGGTAAGAGCTTCCGCGGCAGCGAACGGGCGCGGGTGGGGAGGAGGGGGGCGGGACGTTAAACTTTTTTTTCCTCCTATTTTCATCAAATTAATTCACAATATTGCGTAACTTGTTTCCGTTAAATACTTTGCATTCTTAATTAAAATTACATCCACGCGATTCTCCTCCGAGGAATAAACACTTAGCGGGAAAAGTTTCAGGCGAACGGGAAAAAACCGCTTCGCGGAACAATGCAATTTCCCAGTTTTTCATCAATTATCTCCGTTGTTGGCTTGGTTTTTTTCAGCGTCTAGACTCGATGTTGCCCGAGTCAACTACAGCAATCTGAGCTATGTTCAAATATTCTCAAGGTAGCTGTCAAATGCTCCTCTTTCTTGCTCCTCTCTCCTTGCTTTGTGACTTCGGAATGGACCAGCAGACAAATATGCTTTAAATGGTAACATTTCTTTGAAAGTTTCCCCTTTGAAATTTTGCGAAGGAATTACGGGCAAAGTGGAAAGTTTAGAAATTAACTCCCAAGTTACAGTCTACGGTTTATGATGCTTGTCTTGGGTTTTCCCGAGGACGTGGCCTAATTCCACTGTGCAGACATTCAAAAGGTAGGATCACACCGCATGATCATTAGTTTACTCATGAACAACACACGATTGGGTTGCTTTGATTGTGATCTAGAAGAATTTGATTTCAGGGTGGATAGTCCTCAAAAATTTGATCATGCCTCTCCAAGAGTCGTCATCGTTTTTCGTTCTTCTTCTTTTTTTTTACATTAAATATTTTTTTGTTCACATGAAGATTAAAGGAACGTATCATTTATGCCACAGAAGCTTTTATTTGAGTCAAGGAGACCTTGCTTAAAAAAGGGGAAGATAGCTATATAGAGGGGGAAAAATATCAGATAAAGGAATCTCTCTAAATCAAATATATTATTTTCCAGAAAAAATACTTGAATTATTCACTTTGAAACCAACCCAAGCTTATTGCGACGTTTCAGTTCTTCTTCTTATATTTTCATTTTTCTAAAGAAAATTAGACAATGTTTTCGATAGGAACGTTGCACTAATTCATTCATATATTATATTCTTGAAAGAATATTGAGAAATCTATCGCATAATAGTACAGTTCAACGTAAGTGTTCATAATAGTGGCCACCGTTGTGGTTTTCATACTTTTAAAACAATTGTTTCCGCGCGGACAATTGTAAATTTCAGCATTTTGTAATATTTCAACTCGCGTAGACACTTGGCCCGATTTTTTAAATAGTTTTAAGTTTTATGTGTTAATGCGTTAAACCTGCCCGAAGATGTCCCCCATATGGACGTAATTTTGCCGAACGGAACTATGTGCATTAAGACATGAGCATTGAGACTCATAAGAATGTATGCATAACGGGGCTAACGTCATAATGCACATAGTTCCGTTTGGCAGAAATACGTCCATATGGTGACGAAACGTCGCAGTAAAGGAATACTATCAAACACTATTTGGCTGCAAGCTTGAAACAACATAATGAACGTAAGGAGAGCGCTTACGTTTTTTCCCTCTTTGATCGCGTTTGTCGGTATTTACATCCGCGTTTATGTTACTGACCGTTTATTGCTTGATGGTAAATGGACTTGAACCCAAAATTGAATTCAATCTTCATTTGACCGAAAAGGGTGCCTACAAAAAATTAAAATAAGTCGACGCGATTCTAACAGAAATTATCGTGTCTCTGATAAATTGGTCTACAGAGGTCGTCAGGGGGATGATACCACTATTCGACCATGCGGGAGCTTGTGTTGCCTACACTAAAAATTGAAGGCAAACTGACGAGACCTTAAAGTCTTCCTATTTTGTGTCAGAACGGCATGCGATATATCGC